GGGGAGGAGGAGGAAGAGGAGGGGGAGGAGGAGGGGGAGGAGGAGGAGGAGGAAGAAGAAGAGGAAGAGGAGGAGGAGGAGGAGCTAACAATGAAGGATGAAGAGAAGGAACTACTTTGTTGAATGGCAACTCCTTTGTACAATTATTAAAGACAAAAAATATCCAAAATGTATGCAGTATTGGTATATTATTAAGTGAAGAAAGTGAAAATGCATAAACTTTTTTTTTAAAAAAGAGGAGAATCTCTGCTTCCATAGTGCTGAGATTACAGACATGTACCATCACACCTTGCTATTACCCTATTTAGAAAAGATATTTTTCCCTCCTCAAAAACTAGTCTTGGGATCATCGGAGCAGGCATCATTCTCATCGTATAAATAAAGGGAAAGGCCAGACAATCCTGAAGGAAATAGGAGTTAGGAAAAATTATTAAATAGATATTTTCCCAATAACTACATACAGTTCAATGAAATTTTAGTTATGGCTGACAGTTGAGAGCTTCAGGAATAAAAGCGAAGGAATTTCTTCTCTTTGACTTTTACTAGCCAATTAAAGGATAGCTCAAAATGACTGCTTTGCAGCTGCAGATTCCACTTTCGTTCAAGGTAGGGAAAGACAGCAAATGCAGTGACAAGGGAACAATGTCTACTACAAGAGTTCCAACAGTGAAGTGGCAGGCTGGTGTGAGATGCCCGAGTTAGTAGCACACCCACTTGGATGCCCAATCTAGCCGGAGCCCACTAGACCATCTACATGGGTTGCATGTGGCATCTTTTTCATGCCTCACCCTGAAATTCCACCTATCCTGGGATGGTCTGGAAGGAGGCCAGAGAGGGTGTGGAGCAGTGTGCATTCATTCCTCCTCTCTTCTTCTCTTCTCCAGGAGGCCATACCCCACACAAGGCCCTCATTGTGTCTTGGGCAACAGTAGTCCCATAGTTTTATGCCGGCTGCACCCTGTTTTATACTTCTTCTTTTTAAAACAGCCTCTCCTAAGTTGCCCAGGCTGTTTCTAAGCTCTTGAGTTAAGAGGATCTGCTTGTGCCAGCCTTCCCAGCACTGGGCCCGGCTTTCAGGAACTGCTCCTAAGCAGCTAGCAGTTCTGTCTCCAAGCACCTCACCCCAGGCCAGGTGGGTCAGGACAGGTGCGAGAAGGCCCAGAGCGCTGAGCCGAGCGCTCTAGGACCGCGCAAGCGCCGGGGGGGGGGGGGGGTCCTTCTCACGCAGGGCGGCGCACCTGGAGGCGGAGCCAAGCCGGAGCCACGCCCACCCTCGGGGTGCGAAGCCCCCTCCCCGCACCCCTCCCAGCACGCCGCACAGGCGCGCAGGTGCGTGAGGCGGCGCCCGCCCGGCACCCTGCAGACGAGGGCCCGCCATGGAGCACATCCGCACGCCCAAGGTTGGTGGCGGGAGAGGAGGAGGAGGGATGCTGAGCGCACCGGAGGCCGCCTTCCCGGCGGGGAGCTGGCGCTGCTGGACCGCGGGCGGGCGGGCGAGGGAGGAGCGGGCGGCGCCTGAGCATCTCCGCGTCGCTAGGAGGCCGGCCTTCCCCCTCGGGTCGCGCAGGCCTAGCGTTAGCTGCTGGGGCGCTTGTCCTTGGGGGTGCACAGTGTGCATGCGTGCGTGTGTGTGTGTGTGTTGGACCGGGGACCCCGACTGCTGACTAACCAGCTGTTAAACGTCCTCATCTGGCCTTGTCCTGGGCTTTAAAATTTGTATTTATCTCTTCAAGGTCTGGTCAGTTAGAAGGGAAATCGGCCTTTGAATGACAGGTGCCAGGAAAGCCAGCGGAGGGCACATGGATTGAGTGCTCTGGGGAGCTTCTTGTCTGTAGGGCCTCAGGTTCACCCAGCACCTCCTCCTGGCCCTTGCCCGTCCCCAGGCCAGAGTGGTGAAGCACCTTTTAACACAGCAGAGGCCCAGTGGTCGCTGTAGATGGAATGGGTTTTTGTTTTTGTTTTGTGTTTTGCCTCTTCCTGTTTGTTTAATTCCCTGGGGAGGGCATGCAGCATGTACATTCTTCCCTTCGTATACCTCTCCCTCTCACACTGTGTATGGATATACACACACGCACATATGCCTGTCTATATGTGTGTATATGTATGTATATATTTGTGAAAACATATCAATTCCAAATATTTTATTATTAAACTCAACACATTATTGTTGTTGTTAAATTCAGTGCATCCAGTTAATCAGACTGGTCCGTTTTAAACAACACCAGCTCTTGCCACCCAACAAAAGTAACTGGACCCTGATCACCCAGTTAAATAACGCAGGAAGCATCTGCCACTGTACCAAAACATTCCTACGCATCGTTGTAATATAATTTAAAATGAAAACAATCATTATCATTCCTAGCAGATTAAAAAAAAAACCTCTAGGGTAATGAAAGAATACATTTAAAAATCCTATTGGCTATCTCTTTGTTACTACCTTCACAACCCCTTAAGTTTCCATGGTGACATGGCATTCAAAATCTAGGCCCCTGACAGAGTTTGTCAGAGTTGTATCTGGATAGAGATCAGGTGACCCCAGGGATGCTACTGATTCCGTGATAAGGCAATTGCTTTGCTTTATATCCAGCAAAATAATGTTTGCCTATATTCTGGAATAATACCACCTTGTTAATGCTCCTTTAAAGTTAACCTATGTCAGTGGAAAAATTCATTTTTTTAGTTTTCTGGAGACAGTCAGTTCCAAAAGTAAATTTAAATTTAATTGACTTTGGACCATGGAATTAAATCGTTGCTTCACAGTCAGGAAGTTGTAAACTTAGAAGACAGTGCCATAAACCACAAGAAGGGTGGCTTAAAGCTTTTAGGGTTTAAGTGGTACTAAATAATTTATTCTAGGATGACAAATATAACTCATGGAGTTCCTCCGCCCTTGTCAAAGGCATAATGAGGAGGACCATTTGTAAACATGTCATCAAATGTGCATATCAGCAGCAAGACTGATATGAGACACATCATGAATGTCATTTTTTTCTTTCCTTTTTCTTTTCTTTTTTTGGGGGGGGGGTCCGAT